GTTTAGTTTAGGGTTAAAACGGCCACTCTTCGGATAGGTCAGTGGTTTTCAAACTTTTTTTTCTCCCACCGCCCCCTCTTTCACCCTGCCGAGTCCCAGCGCCCCCTACTCCGCCCCAACCATCAATCTGACATAGCGACATGCATAGTAAGAATCACAAATAATGAGAGAGCTCAAACAGCAGGGTACAATACGACGTGCCTAAATTCTAAATATTTGGTTCGGAATATAAACAATAAACATTTCCAACCTCACTGCGAGACTGTTTTTATCACATACATTTTTACACATATACATGATATTATATGGATAATACTTTGTTTTACATACATGCATGTCCATTAATTTTTAAGATGTGATGTCTTTTTCGTTGTAAAGCGCATTGAGCATTTTTTTAGAAAATGGAAATGCGCAGTATAAATGCTATTATTATTATTATTATTATTATTATTATTATTATTATTATTATTATTATTATTATTATTATAATAATAATTATAATAATAATAATAATAATTATTATTATAATTATAATTATTATTATTATTATTATTATTATTATTATTGGGTCACATTACCATCTTTATAGAATCTCAAATTATGCGTTTACTGGACAATAGAATATTTTTTTTCTTCTATATTATGCAAGGGCTTTGAGAACACAATTTTATTTTATGCATATATAGTTGTCGTCGGTATTAAACGACAAGTGTCATTAACATCTAAGCAAAACACAATTAAATCGTTGGTTTGAAAACAGATTGACAAATCTTTATGAAACGTTTTCTCGTGCTACAAAAAAGACGCCGGCGGTTTGTATATCAAATTAACATTTCCTTTGCAGAACATAAAAATATATTAAGTTATTCAAATGTGAGAAACCACAAGAAAGAAAAATTGTGCATGGATCTTAGTCTGTATGCATCATCATCATCATCATCATCATCATCATCATCATCATCATCATCATCATCAGTTTAATCAGCAGTGGCAGCACATGCACATAAGAAACTCTATTAAACAAGTAGAATCTGAGTATTTTTTTTTTGGAAAGAAAAAAAACACACAAAAAACAAACAAACAACAAGAACAGAAAATACACTTTGAGGTGTCAAGTAAGGATAAACTACGGAGTAAGCATGTGTACATGTATATACAAATAAGTCATTGGTACTGCCCTAATCGGAAGGATGAACCTCATGGTAAGACGAAACCAACTTCTTATCTACATCAGGTTTCAGATTGGTCAGTAGCAGACGCAAATCGCCATGCTCTATACTATGATCCTTAGATTGCTCCTCTGCTTCGTCAGCAACCTTGTCACTGCAGCGCTTGATCTTTTCCCACAGGGACGGATATTGCACAACAGTTTTCAACCAGAATGACTGGTGCGACTTTTTGAACAATGGTTTGATTTCAAAGTTACTTTTCATCGTCAGAAGCTCTTCTTCAATTGCTAATACTGGCAAGTTACCATCTTTTTCACTATTGAATGGGTTCAGTACTCAGTCAGGGATTTCCAGTTAAAAGTGTCAGTATACCTTGTCTTCATATCTACATGAAAATCTCTGTAGTCTGAGGTGGTTTGCATCTCCAGTCTTTCAGTGTCTTCGCAAAGCTAAGAAACTGGGACAATTCTCTTCTCTGCTAATGCTTCGGCGGAACATTTCCAATTTCAACAAGAATGACGAAATAATGGATCTTTCCTTGATCGGGTTGGTGTCATCCCCCTGCAGCTGCAAGTTGAACTGGTTGAACTTTGTGAAAAGATCTGTGATGAACGCAACGTTCTTCTTGTGTTCAGTTCTTTCAGTTTATTACAGATATCACTGTCTGTTTCTTGGGGAAAAACTCCTGCACAGAGTCAAACAGGCAGAAAATTCGTGTTAAACAGTTTCCATTTAAGAGCCACCGGACTTCAGTGTGCAAAAATGAGTATTGAAGGTCCTCGTTATTTTCACTGCACAGCTGTTGGAATAATCTCGAATTCAAAACGTGGGCTTTGATATTGTTCACACACTTGATGAAAAGGGCCAGTGCGTCATGCAGACTTTCATTCAAGTTTTTTTGCCACCAAATGCTGTCTGTGAATGATACAGTGAACAATAAGTATTCCAGGGATGGATTTCCTCAAGAAACTCATAAATCATCAATGGTACCGACCTGTCATCGGCGGTGCCCCATCTGTTGCACATGCAACTATAATATTTGTCGGAGGAATCTGTTTCTCCTCGAAACATTCCTGGACCACTGTGAAAATGGACTCACCTTTGGTACATGTATATTATATTTCCAACATTTTCGCAAACAACAATTCTTGCATTATTTCCTCACCCTGTACGAACTGCACATAAGCGAGAAGCAAAGCTTCATTTCCAGGCAAGGTGGACTAATCCAGCTGAAGACTGAACTCACGTCCTTTGAGCATTTTGCACAATGATTTCTCAATATTTGCTGACATCTCCTCAATACGTCTTTGAACGGTATTTAGTGGGAGAACTTTCACCACAGGCACCCGGGCATGGTGCGGGACTGTGCTGACCACCTCTCTAATCGCAGATAATATGAGGTCCTCACCGATGATACGGGCTTTGCCTGCCTTTGCAATAAGCAGAGGTAATTAAATTTAAATTATAATTGTTGCTCGTTAATCTTCATCAGCTTGATCGAAGTTGGCTGCAAACATCAATTATCAATTTAACTGTGTTTCGTTTCTGAAAATTGATCTTTAGAGTTTTGAAGTTTTAAAGTAGAATCAGGTAGAATCTAGTCTGATTTGTCGGGATGAATTTACTTTATATGGGCTTTGCGTGTTTTGAAAGAAAGTTCTTGTAGTAAGTAGTATTCAGGGGCGGCTCGTGGGGCTAAAAAGTGGGCGTGCACAATAATAATTAAGCTATCGCATGCTAATTATAGTCAAGGGCATAGTAAATGACATGGTGTATAATTTTAGGATCTTTGGGTTGGTGAGGGAGGGCCTCGTACTTTTATTTTCATTCTTTTTACTTGTCGCTTTGATTTCTAGTACTAAATTTGTTTGTTAGCTAACCATCAATTTTGTTCATCCAGTATTGGAACTGAACACTCAAGTATATGTAATAACTTTCACTACTCCACTACAAAACCATTCAAAGTAATCAAAGGCACAACTCATACGACGGGCACATTCACCTCCCTCAGGTTCACGGTCACAGAGTCACTAAAAATAGGCTTATGGCAAAACAAACAATGAACCAATCACAATTCACTTGAGCACTCCGCTGGGTTGCTCCGGGGCTCACATAATATTGGCAAAGAATAGCGTAGGGTCTATCGAGTTTATTTTTAGACTGCCTACTGTGGGCTATATCTCGGCACTATTCGGCAGGAGCACATTTGAGATGTGCCGGCTTATTAATATTAATGTACCGCCAAACTCGCTACGAGTGTCGTCATCGCTTGGGTTATCTCCAAGAATGATTTAAAGGTCAGGTTACACAGTTGAATATCCTTTTCTGTTTAGCTAAAGCGCGTTGACTTTGGCATAGCATAGTAGATGTTTTACGGCGCTATAGACATAGAAATGACAGTTATGGCGCCAGTGAGGACCTTTGTTTTGATATAATATTTGACTAGTGTTTGTTTCTGGCTTCTTTTATTTTATTATTGTGGGTGTTTTACGTAATAGAATATTGAACAATTTTGGGCGGCACTGCACGACCGTGCTCTATGGACGAACCGCGCCTGGTAGTATTGTAAACTATGCCTATGCTAAACCATTTCTTTAACTGTTATAGTTATATATCAATTTTTGATTTTGTTTTTGCTTATGTTGTTTCTTTCCCTTCGCCATTTTTTATTTTGCATTTCATGAAAATTGCACATCGCCCCCACTTAACGCCCACTACGGCTGTCTAACGCCCACCAATCGTCCAATTCCGCCACAGAGCCCCCCAAACTCTCGCCACCGGGGGCGGTAGCGCACTTTGCAAACCACTGGGATAGGTGGACACACGGCCTTATTTGTTAATTTTTGCGGTTGTTTATTTTCTGTTCTAATTTTAATTACATTCTGTTGTGAATCTTTTTCCCCCACGTTTTTACACTGTGTGTAACTACAAATGGTCTTCTGGGCTTGAAACATAACACAACATATTTTGGTGTACGGGGTGCCCACTACGGATGGGATCGGCTGATCGGCCCGATCGCCCGACTCGATCGCCTCAAAAACAAACGTGTTTGTTTTCAGTTTCAGGCGATCGAGTCGGGCGATCGGCCCGTTGCACCCCGTAAAGATTCTATCAACATATTATATTGCTATATTTGTCGTCATAGAGTTGAAAGCTTGAAAATTATTGGCTATTTTTACGGCAACTTTTGCCAAATTTGTGGCAACTTTTGGACAATAAAATGGCAATAAACGCAGATGCTAAGCTCCTGTGAATCGACCTTTATCCACTTTAGGGTGGTGTCAACAAGTGAGAAAGTGACGAAGTGAAGCGGTAGGCCTAGTGAAAATAAACTTTCCTTTTAAAAGTAAAGAGGCTCGGTTTTTTTTTTTCGCTTTTTATTCTCCGTTTTGGAATTGTTTTTTTATGTGTTTTTTAAGATGCAAAATTGCAGCCACGATTCGCCGACCAAAAAAATGCCAAAAATCGCTGCCGCGATACGCGTGTCGCGGCCGCGACAAACGCAAGCTAGCCTAGGTCAGTTCATATAGTACATCTATGGGTCAGCTAGATCTAGACTTCTAATGATCTTTCACGTTAAAGATTTTTATCATGTGTGCCATATTGGATGTTGCTGTATAACTGACTATATGTGAAAAGATAGTGATTCAGGGGGCTTGTTTGCTTGTAATTAAAAATCATACTACACTATTGTTATTAAAGAAAAACTAATTTTGATCCTGGTCATATACATCCTGTCAACACAACATTTAAGATCTAATACAGGAACGCATTCGTGCGGCCAAGCGGTGTCCCTTTTTCTTCACACCACTCACCATTCTCTGGCGATGTGGCAATATTGACTGTTGACTTCCTGTTACAAGAACGTGAAGAAGGGATCGCGAGACAAACTTACAACAATACAATATGTTGGACTTTTTCTCTATATTTAGTAAAGGGGGCATTGTCCTGTGGTGCTTCCAGGGGACGTCTCAATTGTTCACACCCTCAGTGAATGCCCTAATCAAATCTGTAATTCTACAGGTGAGAAGTGATACGTTACGTTGACGACGTTGTTATGTTACGTTGCCGCCGTTGGCCGTTGGCACGGGGGAGACCAGTGACCAGGAGGGCAATTCTCTTGCTTCAAATAATAGGATATCAAACAACTTACACTATTGTAATGAAGAAAGTCTGAACTTTTTCAAAGTGTTCAGCATTTGGTGTTTTATAGCAAAAGAGCAAAGAAACAGAGATCTAAATTACCCCCATTTTACCGAAACCACGCCACGCGCTTGGAATGCCGCAAGTCGGCTTACGTGCCATGTGTACGCTACCTAATTATATGTTTGCAATAGCACCAGAAACACACAAGAACACACACACATGCACGCACACACATATTCACACACATACTAACACACCAACACACATACACACACATGCACATAGACCACCTCAGTGGCCTCTTGCTAAGGTAAGGCAAGGAGTCCACTTTGCGAGATCTAGAGGAAGGTAATTAATCTTTTTAAAGCACTAAAACACAATAAAAATGAATTTTTAAAATCAATCCAAGCGTAAAACTGAAAGATCAACTGACGAGAACAGCTAGCAAGGCACACCCACACGGTCAGCTGTTTACGACAAACAAGCTTGAAGTGATCTAGATTTTAGATCTAGATTTCTAGAAGTTACCGTTTTTACTGTTTTACCAATCAGAGTTGTTTACGTACGTTTCTGACCATTCTTGCTCGAAGAGGGGTCAAAATCTAAAAATAAGTGCGAATGAAGAACGTTGAAGCAAAGATACTCCACTAGTGAAGAATTTTTGGTTGAAGCAAAGGTGGCCATGAGGTAATGGTTCTAAAAATAATCTCACAGCTACACACTAGCAAGGTCCAAATTCTTATTTCGTCACCCAAGCTCACAACAAACCACACACACACCTCCAAAATAAATCAAAATAAAATATTTATAGTCGATGTTTATTTTTACGCAGTGGATATTTTTACGGCGAGCTCAGTGAGTCCCAGCTATTTATACGGCGATCCTCGAAAAGCGATCCTACTCCGCCTCTCATGTACGCGACATGCCTCAATGTATTAGATCTAGGCCTATAGGGGCCGTTCAAAATATAAACTTACGTACCTCAGAGGGGAAAGGGTGTCTTTGGCTTCTGTAAGAAAAGTGGAAGATTGGGTGGGGAGGTGAGATGAACGTTTTGCTCATGACTGGGAAGAAAAGGTAAAAGAAAAGGCCGGCACTATTTCTCCGAACGTTCGGGAAAATAAAGCTGGGCAGTATTTCTCCGAACACTCTGAAATATCATCCTTTCCCCCAAATTTCGGATAATTAAAATAAAATATAGATCTATAATTATATTATAGGCCTACCAAAGATTGTTCGTATACAATATGGTTCAATCGGTCCAAAAAATGTCCGTATTTATATAAAGAAATGCTACAGTTCCAAACAGTTTTTCGCTACAGATATGACGTGTGGCCTATGAAGGGTGCTGCTCTTAAACTTAACGAAGTGACTATTTCTCCGAACGTTCGGA